CTCTTTTAGTACTTTAATTAAGCTCTCTTCTTCATGTGAGGAGGGACCTGCAGCAATTATAACAGGGAGAGTTTCGTTAGCACCCAAATAAGTATATTTAAGATGATTGGGCAGTGGTTTAAGTTCTAGCTTTGGTGGGGTGATAATGGATGGCTCCAATTTCGTGGATGATGGTCCAAGAGGCTCAAGTGGTGGCCTAAAGGATGGTGGGTATGGTTGAAACACTTCTAAGGCAGCCACCACTTCTTGGAACTCCGGTTCACAAAGATCTTCCTCTTCTTGTGTTAAGACAGCTTCTAGAGCATCATTAGACTTTCTGTGCAAAATTTTGGAAGAAACCTCATGATCCACAACATCAATTGAAAAGCAAGAATCAAGAGAGATAGAAGGTTGAGATAGAGCATTAAGCATTTTAAATTCAACAGTTTCACCCAAAACAGTCATGGAGAGGGTGCTATCTTTCACTTTGATGATTGTGTCTGCAGTGGCCATGAATGGCCTGCCTAGGAGAATGGGATCAACATGATCTCCATTTGGATTGTCTTCCATGTCCATCACTACAAAATCAGCAGGGAGAATTAGTGTATTAACTTGAACTAGAATATCTTCTACAATACCTTTTGGATATTTTATAGAATGATCAGCTAGTTCAAGTCGCATTGAAGTCTTCTTCATCCCTTCTAAGCCAAGCTCTTGATAAACTGAATATGGCAAAACATTGATGCTTGCTCCCAAGTCCAATATGGCTCTTCCAACCTTCTTGCCTCCAATGTTAATGGGAATGTCAAAGCTGCCAGGATCATCTAGTTTTGGTGGAAGCTTCCTTTGCAATACAGCACTTACATTCTGGTCGAGCTTTACTCCTTCATTTGGAGCGAAATTGAGTTTGTGAGTTTTCAAGTCCTTGATGAATTTTCCATATGCAGGAATCTGTTCAATAGGATCAAGCAAAGGCAAATTGATATTAACTTTACTCAAACTATCATAAATCTCTTTAAAAGCCTTATCTTGCTTTACTTTCTTAAGACGGCCTGGAAATGGAATCTTGCTTTGCTTTCTTGAAGATGTGGTGGCACAAATTTGTCATCTCTTTTATGCAATTGGAATTGATCGGATTTCTGAGAATCTGATTTGGCCTTAGGAGCAGATTGAGAAGTTTTGAGTTGTTCTCCTTCCGTGGCCATGGTCTCCTCCTCTTCATTTTCTATAATCACAACATCATTTGAAAGATTAGAATCATCTTTATTATCAATGATCTTACCTGATCTGAGCACATGAATGGCCTTGGCTTCTGGGTTCTTTGGATTGATCTCAGTTTGGCTTGGCCATTTCCCAGGCACTCTTTGAGTTATTTCAGCAGCTATTTGGCCTAATTGGACTTCCAATTTGGAGATGGCAGCTTGTGTAGTTTGCTGAAAATTGGATTGGTTGATTGCCATTTGCTTCACTATATCTTCCAATGATGATGATGATTGTTGTGGCCTTTGGAATGAAGGGGGATTTGCTTGCTTCTGGGTATTTCTCCATGAAAAGTTTGGATGATTCCTCCAACCTGGATTTTAACTTTGAGAGTATGGATCATTTCTTGGACTTTGGTTGTAGGAATTTACCAACTTAGCTTGCTCTTGCACAAATTCTGGGTATCCAGCCCCAAGTGGACAAGTTGTGGTAGCATGGTCATGAGATTCACAAATGCTTCACACTTCCTTCGGAGGGCTTCTTGAGTTTAATGCAAGAGGAGCATCTAGCTTTTGTTCCAGTTTTGAAATCTGCACATTAGAAGCATCATTAGAACCACTAATAACACGTTTCCCTCTTGTATCCGTATGTTGGGTCTCCATTGCTATCTCTTCAAAGAGTTCGTACGTTTCTTCTGGAGTTTTGGTTTTAGAAGAACCACCTGCAAAATTGGTGACTATATTATGACTAGAAGGGGTTAGTCCTTTATAAAACATACGCATTTGAAGCTTCAATGGAATCCCATGATGAGGACATTGGTTGAGCAACCCATTGAATTTCTCCCATGCTTCACAAAACGATTCATCATCTTGCTGTGCAAATAACAAGATCTTGTCCCTAAGCATGTCGGTCTTTTGCGTGGAGAAGTATTTTTCCAGGAACTTCTTTTGAATGGCAGACCATGTAGTGAGTGAACCAGGCTTCAAAGAATTCAACCAATACTTCGCCTTATCCTTTAAGGTGTATGGAAACACTCTCATTCGAAGTTGATCTTCTGTCACACCTGTCAAGGGAAAAGAACTCACAACATTAAAAATATCCTTTATATGAGTCAATGGATCTTCATTAGGTAAACCATAAAAGGAAGGCAGCATATTAAGATGAGAAGATTTAAGCTCATAATTTCGAGCTACAGTGGGCAGCAAAATGCTTGAAGGAGATGCTGGAATTGTTGGGATATCAAGTTCTCCCATGAACTCAATGACAGCCATCATTTCTTCTTCTTCTTGGTCTGAACTTGCTTCCGAATTTGAAAGTGAAGAACCAGGAAGTTCAGTGTGGAGAGCAAGACTTGTAAATGTAGCAAGAGCTTGCTCTTTTGCAGTTGACAACTCCCTTTCTAGACGATTCTGAATTTCAGAGGTCACTCGTCTGGGTTGCAATGATGGTCCTGCGTTCAAAGATCTAGAACGTTGGAACGAAGACCTCATGTAGGGTTGGATGTAAGGCCAAATGCCTATTCTGTAAACTGTGTGCTTTTGTATTGTGCGTGCTGTCGATTGGGAACCTTTTTACTGTGTTTTGACATGTTGAAATTTGGGAAAAGTCCGTTTTTCAGGAGAGAATCTGCCGAAATTTCGGTAGGAGTCTCAACCATCTTTTCTTTTGTTCTCGGAGAAGAGGGTGTTATTAGTAAGTGGGCCCGACATTGGATTGATGTCCGAAAAACCACAAGGTTCGTCACGGATTCCAAGGAATTCGGGGCGGGTCCTTTTAGTTATCAAGTCTACGCTTTATCTCCATATAATTCTCTAAGTCAAAAGTAATTTACATTAAATTGGCCATGTGCACCGAAGATATGAGAATAATTATGTAAGAAAAAGTTAACTAAAGAACCACAATTAAAACTCGCATACTAATTATCAATCCTTAAAAGCTATTCATAACAAAGTAGAATCCATGTGTTATCATTGACTTATGGAAAGTGTTAGAATGTGTAGTGTTAGTACAGCTGTGTTTGTACAGCTGTGTTAGTGAGTGTTAGTATAGCTGTTTGTACAGCTATGTTAGTGCTAGTACAGCTGCTATCTTTACAGCTGTGTTAGTGTTAGTACAGCATCTCTACTCTTTGTATAGCTATAAATACCTCCCATTGGAGATGAATCAATCATCAGAAATTTTCTGCATCTTATTTTCTACTTGGTATCAGAGCATACTAATTTGCTCTCTTACTTTCTTATTCCTTCCTATTTCTGTGTTACCACAGATCTCTATCATTTTCACCAAGGGTATACTGACCTTGGTGTTCTCTCTTTCATTTCTTACTGAAATCTCTGAGTATGCTCTGTAGTTGCAGCTAGACTGAACTTCTACATCAGAAATTTCCTTTTTTATTTATCTCTACCATAAACACAAATTTCCGCTGCTATTATGGGTGAAAAAACCGAAAATTCAGATTCTCCTGGTGCTGAAACATCTGCCCCAGTGATGAATTTTCACCAAGATACACCTTCCTCAATTGGGGTAAAGCTCAATGGCACCAATTACCGTCTTTGGTCCAAAGTTCTTGAGATGCATATTGCTGCCCGTGAAAAATATGGTTACATCTCTGGGACTAGGATTGCACCAAAGGATTCAGATCCTAAATTTGAGAAGTGGATGGCCGAAAATGCACTAGTGAAGTCATGGCTCATCAATTCTATGGCCCCTGCCCTCATGATGAATTTTATTCATTGTGAGACCGCTAAAGATGTTTGGGATACCGTCAAGAAAACGTATCATGATGCTTCTGATGCTTCCCAAGTCTACGAGTTGATGAAGAAATCCTTCCAGATGCGTCAAGATGGCCGACCATTGACCATCTATTTCACGGAACTCAATTCCACCTTTATGGAGCTTGACTTCCGTCGTCCAAATGACTTGGAGAATCCATTGGACTTTGCCAAATTGAAGAAACGTATCTCTGAAGAACGTGTCTATACATTTCTTGCTGGACTTGATCATAATCTTGATCAAGTATGTGGACGTATTCTGGCCACATCACCTCTCCCTGATATTGATGAAGCTTATTCTATGGTTCGTAGAGAAACACAGCTGTACTAACACTACACATTCTAACACTTTCCATAAGTCAATGATAACACATGGATTCTACTTTGTTATGAATAGCTTTTAAGGATTGATAATTAGTATGCGAGTTTTAATTGTGGTTCTTTAGTTAACTTTTTCTTACATAATTATTCTCATATCTTCGGTGCACATGGCCAATTTAATGTAAATTACTTTTGACTTAGAGAATTATATGGAGATAAAGCGTAGACTTGATAACTAAAAGGACCCGCCCCGAATTCCTTGGAATCCGTGACGAACCTTGTGGTTTTTCGGACATCAATCCAATGTCGGGCCCACTTACTAATAACACCCTCTTCTCCGAGAACAAAAGAAAAGATGGTTGAGACTCCTACCGAAATTTCGGCAGATTCTCTCCTGAAAAACGGACTTTTCCCAAATTTCAACATGTCAAAACACAGTAAAAAGGTTCCCAATCGACAGCACGCACAATACAAAAGCACACAGTTTACAGAATAGGCATTTGGCCTTACATCCAACCCTACATGAGGTCTTCGTTCCAACGTTCTAGATCTTTGAACGCAGGACCATCATTGCAACCCAGACGAGTGACCTCTGAAATTCAGAATCGTCTAGAAAGGGAGTTGTCAACTGCAAAAGAGCAAGCTCTTGCTACATTTACAAGTCTTGCTCTCCACACTGAACTTCCTGGTTCTTCACTTTCAAATTCGGAAGCAAGTTCAGACCAAGAAGAAGAAGAAATGATGGCTGTCATTGAGTTCATGGGAGAACTTGATATCCCAACAATTCCAGCATCTCCTTCAAGCATTTTGCTGCCCACTGTAGCTCGAAATTATGAGCTTAAATCTTCTCATCTTAATATGCTGCCTTCCTTTTATGGTTTACCTAATGAAGATCCATTGACTCATATAAAGGATATTTTTAATGTTGTGAGTTCTTTTCCCTTGACAGGTGTGACAGAAGATCAACTTCGAATGAGAGTGTTTCCATACACCTTAAAGGATAAGGCGAAGTATTGGTTGAATTCTTTGAAGCCTGGTTCACTCACTACATGGTCTGCCATTCAAAAGAAGTTCCTGGAAAAATACTTCTCCACGCAAAAGACCGACATGCTTAGGGACAAGATCTTGTTATTTGCACAGCAAGATGATGAATCGTTTTGTGAAGCATGGGAGAAATTCAATGGGTTGCTCAACCAATGTCCTCATCATGGGATTCCATTGAAGCTTCAAATGCGTATGTTTTATAAAGGACTAACCCCTTCTAGTCATAATATAGTCACCAATTTTGCAGGTGGTTCTTCTAAAACCAAAACTCCAGAAGAAACGTACGAACTCTTTGAAGAGATAGCAATGGAGACCCAACATACGGATACAAGAGGGAAACGTGTTATTAGTGGTTCTAATGATGCTTCTAATGTGCAGATTTCAAAACTGGAACAAAAGCTAGATGCTCCTCTTGCATTAAACTCAAGAAGCCCTCCGAAGGAAGTGTGAAGCATTTGTGAATCTCATGACCATGCTACCACAACTTGTCCACTTGGGGCTGGATACCCAGAATTTGTGCAAGAGCAAGCTAAGTTGGTAAATTCCTACAACCAAAGTCCAAGAAATGATCCATACTCTCAAAGTTAAAATCCAGGTTGGAGGAATCATCCAAACTTTTCATGGAGAAATACCCAGAAGCAAGCAAATCCCCCTTCATTCCAAAGGCCACAACAATCATCATCATCATTGGAAGATATAGTGAAGCAAATGGCAATCAACCAATCCAATTTTCAGCAAACTACACAAGCTGCCATCTCCAAATTGGAAGTCCAATTAGGCCAAATAGCTGCTGAAATAACTCAAAGAGTGCCTGGGAAATGGCCAAGCCAAACTGAGATCAATCCAAAGAACCCAGAAGCCAAGGCCATTCATGTGCTCAGATCAGGTAAGATCATTGATAATAAAGATGATTCTAATCTTTCAAATGATGTTGTGATTATAGAAAATGAAGAGGAGGAGACCATGGCCACGGAAGGAGAACAACTCAAAACTTCTCAATCTGCTCCTAAGGCCAAATCAGATTCTCAGAAATCCGATCAATTCCAATTGCATAAAAGAGATGACAAATTTGTGCCACCACATCTTCAAGAAAGCAAAGCAAGATTCCATTTCCAGGCCGTCTTAAGAAAGTAAAGCAAGATAAGGCTTTTAAAGAGATTTATGATAGTTTGAGTAAAGTTAATATCAATTTGCCTTTGCTTGATCCTATTGAACAGATTCCTGCATATGGAAAATTCATCAAGGACTTGAAAACTCACAAACTCAATTTCGCTCCAAATGAAGGAGTAAAGCTCGACCAGAATGTAAGTGCTGTATTGCAAAGGAAGCTTCCACCAAAACTAGATGATCCTGGCAGCTTTGACATTCCCATTAACATTGGAGGCAAGAAGGTTGGAAGAGCCATATTGGACTTGGGAGCAAGCATCAATGTTTTGCCATATTCAGTTTATCAAGAGCTTGGCTTAGAAGGGATGAAGAAGACTTCAATGCGACTTGAACTAGCTGATCATTCTATAAAATATCCAAAAGGTATTGTAGAAGATATTCTAGTTCAAGTTAATACACTAATTCTCCCTGCTGATTTTGTAGTGATGGACATGGAAGACAATCCAAATGGAGATCATGTTGATCCCATTCTCCTAGGCAGGCCATTCATGGCCACTGCAGACACAATCATCAAAGTGAAAGATAGCACCCTCTCCATGACTGTTTTGGGTGAAACTGTTGAATTTAAAATGCTTAATGCTCTATCTCAACCTTCTATCTCTCTTGATTCTTGCTTTTCAATTGATGTTGTGGATCATGAGGTTTCTTCCAAAATTTTGCACAGAAAGTCTAATGATGCTCTAGAAGCTGTCTTAACACAAGAAGAGGAAGATCTTTGTGAACCGGAGTTCCAAGAAGTGGTGGCTGCCTTAGAAGTGTTTCAACCATACCCACCATCCTTTAGGCCACCACTTGAGCCTCTTGGACCATCATCCACGAAATTGGAGCCATCCATTATCACCCCACCAAAGCTAGAACTTAAACCACTGCCCAATCATCTTAAATATACTTATTTGGGTGCTAACGAAACTCTCCCTGTTATAATTGCTGAAAGCTTAACTAAAACGACTCAAGAATAAAAAGAAAAGTCTTTTTGGATTTTAGATTTTTATTTTTATTTTTATGCATTTTATGAAATTAAGGACTGAACAAAAGTAAAAGTGCATAATAGATCTGATTTTGAGCAAGTACAAACTATTCCATAAAGTCGGCTGGTCCGCACAGGCAGTTTCTGAGAAAATATGCAGAAAATGGAAAAGAACTTTCATTGGAATAGTTTACCACTTCAATCACAGTCTTTTGATTAGAATCAGTTTACTTGGTGTGTAAGTTTCCTTTTATTTATTTACATTTATTTATTTTTCAAGTCCATTAGAATTTCACAATTGCTAATATTGGCACGCTCACAACTCATATTTTCCCAAAGTTTGTTTTAGGGCTTTTGTTCATATTTGAGAGCAAGGACTAAAATATTTATAATATTGACGAAATATTGAGGATATTATCGGTTTTTTGGTTCTAGGATATTTTGGAACATATCCATACACATATTGTATAAGTATTGATAATATCAACATCGATAATTTCTCTCGCACTTCAGCAACATTTGGCCAAAATATTGCTATAATATCGCTAATATTGAGATGATGAAAACAGTAAAAAATTTGAAGAGTTATTTACACTAACACCCCCTGAGGTTTCTTGTGTTTTCACAAAACCCCCTCAGGTCTCAAAAATTATATGAACACCTCGTGAGGCTTCAGTTTGTTTTCAAAAAACCCTTTTCGTTGATTGTTTGTCCAAAAATTGATGTTTTGATTGAAAAAAAACTTATGCATATGACAAAATTAACCTTAATGAAGTATATGCAATCTAATCTCAAAGGAAAACTTTGTCATTTGGAGAATTTTTTTTGTATAAAATCATCAATCTTTGGATTAAAAATCAATGAAAATGAATTTTGTGAAAACAATTTAAAACCTCAAGGGGTGTTCTTGTAATTACTAAAACCTCAATGAGTTTTTTGAAAAAGCCGAAAACCTCAGGATGTGTTAGTGTAAATAGCTCAAATTTGAACCTTATAGGAACTCTATGTGGTACTAAGTCACTTGTGTATCTTTCCATGCAATGTATAAAGTATAAAATATTGTAGTAAATCATTATAAATAAATGATTTAATCTTCTTTCATTAATTACTACATATTTTTTACTCTCGCAGTGTTTGTCAGCTTGCTATATAATCAACTTAAATAAGTTAAACCCATCATGCAATGCATTTTCTTTCAATTTTTTGTGATAAGGTAATAGATAATTGACTAAAGAGTGGTGATTTTCCCACTCCCCTTTTATCAACCTACACTCCCTTTTTGTTTTTTTTAAATACTTTTTACTATAAGATAAAATGGAGTGTAAGTGAACAAAAGAGGAGTGAGAACATACAATTTTAAAATAATGGAGTGTAAGTGAATAAAAGGGGAGTGGAAAAATTAGTAGCCTTGACTAAATAAACATCCTCCAAAGTTTCAAGAAAAAATTCCAAGTTTTTCTAATAATTTCCGTGGTTTTTATCGATATCGATAATATCCCGATATTTCTATCTAAATTTCGGTGTTTTTGGACTACCGATATTTTCGAAACCATCGATATTTTAGAGCTTATTTGAGTATTTGAGAGTAGACATATTCATAAGTTATTATCTTTTGTTGTGAATATGTATCAATTCATAAACATGTCCATTTATATATATATATATATAATTTTTTTTTTTTCTGTCAAAAGGATTTATAGGGTTTAGGGAAGTGGTTTGTCGAGTTGTAATAAGTAGGGGTGGGCACGGTACGGTATGGTACGGTATTGAGCCCGTACCGCTACTGATACCGGAAATTTAAATCGGTATGGTACGGTATGGGATTATCGTTTGTCAAAATTGGTACCGTACCATACCGTACCGTGTCGGTATC